TCCGTGGGGCCTAAAAAAGTAAATTGCAATTAAATAGAGGTTGCCGATCAATAATGAGCATCCCTGAAATAAAATAATGTTCCCTTGACTTCTACGAAGCTCCTCTATCTTAAATAAATGTTCCACTTTTACGCAGTTTTTAGAACTTTTCCAAGTTCCTTGTTTTACGATTTTTTCTGAAGATCTATGAAGATCCCTGAATTTCTACTTTCCTCAATTTCTACGATGTTTCTTGAACTTCTGAGAAGTCCTTGAAGTTTAACGAAGTTCTCAGAAGTTAAAGAAAAATCCTTGGGCCCATGGCCAATTTGTAGAGCCTGAAAACGTCTTAATATGCCATCGATTAAATATCGCTGTAATATAATTTCTCAAAATTGTTTCTTATAGTCCAGAGCATAAGAAAAGTAGTTAACAGAAAGGATTTAAAAAACCGTTGATTGTGGTCCACTTTTATTAATAGCTGTTAATATTGTCGCACTATGTTAAATTCTCATTTGGTGACGGTCGAAGCGCGCCGCTGATAAGGATTCTACACAGGTGTGTAACTTAGATAGTGTTTTATGGCGGCGGCTTGAGGAACGAATCCTGGATAACGAGCCGCCAATGGGCGCAGTCATACGGCTATAAGCAGAGAACAGATGGTATAATCCCATTTTGAGAAATTATCCTGCCACACACAATAGTAACATCGAACTTGACAAGCTTGACAAAATACCGGTGAGTTAAAAATAAAACCAGAAGTTCTAGGGGGGGGCTTCGATAATTGTAGAGGGAGCCTGGCCCCCTTGGCACCCCCATTAACTACGCCAATGGCAAAAGCAACGCATATAAACATAATCGTAATACGCAAACCTTTCTTCTTTGGGTTGGGATTCTTGCTATCAAATTCGTCCCGAACATGTACCTTTGAGCGGCAGATGACGCGATTGTGCCTGTTTCATAGCAGTCACAGGAGAAAACGGGAGAGTTGTCAGTCTTTTTGATATGTTGTCTTCGGTTTTATGTAACCGGTGTCTTGAACATCTTGATCATTCCCTTAGAACTCCTCGCTAGATTTATTACCTACTTCCTCCAGAACTTACTTCATCACTCGCTGTCACTAGTAAGTGACAATTGTCACCTCGTGTGAATGAGACTTCATTTCATTTGCACGGAGGGTCGACCCGAGCAAAGTCCAGCATCAAAATGACAGCAAATTGAAATCAAGTTTTGATATCAACATCAAACTGAAATCATAATTTGATTTCAGTTTACGCAATGGACAAATTTGATACCAAATTTTGTTTTCATTTTGCTGTACATTTGCTCTTCAAAAATATGTTGTTGCGGGTTTGTTTTCATGGCCTTAGCATAACATCAAATTGAATACTTGTTTTGTTATCAACAGGAAAAATGGATATCAAATTCAGTTTTCAGTTTGCTCTCACTGATAGCAGAAATAGTTTTCAATGTGATGTCACAAGAAGATTTGTTTGCTCTCAAATGTGATATTTTAACCGTTAAAACGACCAAAACGACAGCAACCTGAGTAATAATTATCAGCGAAATCACAACATCAAATTTAGATTTCAATTTGATCTCAGACTTTGCTCGGGTCACCTCACACGTGGTGACATTTATCACTTTACTAGTGACTGCGAGTTACCTCACCTCAAACGCCGCGCATAGTAGGCCTGTTAGAATCATCCTACAGTTTCCCAGAGTTCTTTTTGACATACCCTAGGAAAATTTGCTCCAGTTGATCTCATGTTGGTTGACTTAACGATTAACACAGCAAAAATAAGAGCAGCATTTTACACTGTTGAATCAAACAGAAAACTAATCCTGCTTTCAATGAAATCAATTTGATAACTGATTGTGCATTCATGATATTTAGCTGAATACGGGCCTGGCGTAATTGGTTAGCATTCATGCTTCTCAGGGTTGATGCATATATTACGTCACGCTCTAAGGGGGGAGGGAGGGTCTAAAATTTTGTGACAATCAATGCATTAGGTATAGGAAAAACGTCACGATACCCCCTAGAGGGAGGGGGTAATTTTTTGCTCGATTTATAGTGACATAATTAATGCATGGGCCCTCACGCTGAATCTTACCCCGGACAAGTCACGAATGACCAAAACAAAGGAACAATAATCGTAACTTCAACGACAATTAAACAATTAAATTTTCAACTTGAAGTTAAGTTGCTTTTATTTAAAAAAAAATCATGACTCCAAAACTTAGTAAGTAAGTTTGTTTTCTTTATTAAACTAGACCCTAAAAAATTTTCCGCGATCCCACAAAAATCTGCTTTGTTATAAGGAAAATCGAAGAAAATTTAACTCAGTCCACGACTATAATCATAGACTGAGTAAAACCAACAATCAATACGAAACCAACGGTTTTAAATTGGCTCACTACTTGACTAGCCTATTGGTCCCAAGCAAATCGATTACCGTACCGCATTCGGTCAAAATTCTAGTACTACACAATGTTTGTTTTGATTCGCTATGAAAGTTTGACAGATAAAATGAGGGGTTCGTGGATTTTTCTATGTTTCGAGGGGTGAATCGATTAGCTTGGGACCGAAGATAATACCAGAGCTGAGCCTCGTTTCTTCGGGACCTTCTGGTCTTAGAGTTACCTCTATGGTAAAATTGTCCTCGAATTTCCTCACACTCGAGCAAATTATTGAGGAAAAATCGAGGAAAATTTACTATGAGTGATCTACGTTTTTGCGATTTTGAGTGAAAAGTGATTCAATTTTGAGTTTATCTCAGAAGATATTTGAGGACAATACAGAGCTAGGAGCTTCATCAAAGGTGTCACACAAGAAAGAAGTGTTACTTTGTTTTGATTCGCTATGGAAGACAGATAAAATAAGGGGTATTGGATTTTCCTATGTTTCGAGGGGTGAATCGATTAGCTTGGGACCGAAGATAGTACCAGAGCTGAGCCAAAAAGTTGAGCTCATTTTTTCGGGACCTACTAGTCTTAGAGTTACCTCTATGGTACAACTCATGTATTAGTGAAACTGATCACTAACACTAACTGTAGAGAACTGCCTGTCATCTGCGAACAACTCGAGTGAAGCCAAATGTATCTGGTGCTAATTTGACAGCTCCTCCTTTTCCTCTATGATTAAGCTTGGTACATGTCACGCCGCGTTGCGGAAAAGTCACGCAAATTGTGCTCGTCAATTCGAAAACAACTAAATCATTTTTTAATTGTCCATTGCGGGAATGTAAGAATGGTTTTGAAGGCATTACACTTGTTGCCACTTTGCCGCATTTAATGTTACATGGTTGGACCTTAAATCCGGAGAACTTTGAGATCAGGGCGTAATTGCTTTTGTAAACAAACACGTCATTTGCCGATTTCTCACGACTTAAAGCTCAATAAAAAACTAACAACACAAAAATATAGAGGAATGATTCCTCTATCATTTGGTATAGTTTGTTCGCGAGATAGTATTCGCGAGAAATCAGCGATTGACGTGTTTGTTTACAAAATCAATTACGCCCAAATCTCAAAGTTTTCCGGAAATATGTTATGGATCCAGCGCTGCTGATGTTTTCGGCAGATTCAAGAACTGTATCGCATTGCAGGGGGTTGGGAATGACACATCTTCAATAAATTTCATTATTATGGCTACACGGCCAGTCGCTGTAGTAAGGGAGTGATGAAAGCGGCCATAGGGGGCAAGGAGGCTAATGGCTCTCTAATTCAGTATCGAAATATTTTGATGTTCGAAAACCCTGGATAAATGCCATGTTTTAAGATTACATCTCTATTTTCTGGCTTCCAGAATTTAGGTAGTTAATGTTTTGAAATCTGAGCAATCCAAAAATTTTCAATGCTTCAGTTCTAGATTTTTTCTGATATCCACACAACCAATCAGAACAACTCAGCGACCGAATTCTATTAACTCAGAGCATTTTCTCTCCATACGAAATTTACTCATTCTTGGGAAAACCTGTTGTGACTCATAAGCTATAAATTCCTGTAGGTTTTTCCCAAATATGAGTAAATTTCGTATGGAAAGAAAATGCTCGGAGTCAATTGAAATTCGGAGTCAATTAGCGGCCCCGGAGATTCAGTCATATAATAAACCTCTGGACCGGAATAAGTCAGCTTTTAGCCAAAAGGAACAAACCTATCAAGAAGGCTGGTAGCTTTGCTTGAATACAAAGGACCAATACAGTAGCGCTGCCTTTAAGGGAATGTCTTCTGATGTTGGGAGGTATCTTCGCTATCATTTTCGTTCGGAGGTTTTATGCGTTTCTGAAGCAATTTGTTTCGAGTAAATATTCATCGTATAAACGGCGAGACGATTTCAATGTAAAAACAAGTTTCGGACACTTTTATAGCGTTCCATCGTTCCATTGTGTCCGGCCCTTGACGTTAGTTTTAAAAATCTTGAGATTGATCAGTTTTCTTGAAATGATGTCTTTGATTTAGACTAAAACTTAGCATAGGTTACCTAACTCATTCTAGACATTCTATGCATACGTATTTATAATAGTTATGAGAGGTTATAAGTAGATATAGTGCTCGACAATTAATTGAGGGGCAAAACTCTTAAAAGTCAAAAAAATCAAGATGTGGTCCCATTTCTGGTTTAGATGCAAATCAATCCAAAATATACATTGGACATAGCCAGTGTGTGACAATACTGTGATAATGTAGAACAGCTTCTCCTCTTCTTTCTTCTTCGCTCTGTTCCGATGAGTACACAATGTAACCATGTCAAAAGAGCTAGTCGAATCATCATATGCTAAATTGTGTTCGTGTTTATTATCTTTAGAGTCGCATTTATTTCTCCTTCTGTCTTAAACGCTTTAGCAGGTTACCTACATCCCAGCTTTCAATATATCTCTATCGTTTGTCTTTTATTCATTTCTGATTAATGTTTCATTCGTCGTTCTCCCATTAACAAGTTTATCTACACTATTAGTAGTACCCAGAGAGTAATATCTTCATAAGCCTTACCTTTCTCCTGGATAAAAAAAAAAACTTTCTTCGCCTCCATTTGTCGCTAACAGCATTTAAATATGTATCTGATTTCCATCTGTTTTCTTACTCGTTCTTGAAATTGCTTTTCTTTTTACGCGTTGTCCGTTTTCCGCCTTCTAAAACATGCTACCTTCGTTTTCGATTAAAATATATTGATTAGAGAACTGTTTCACTATCTTTTCTTTCGTAATGGTTTGTTTGTTTTTTGGTTGTCATCTCCAGAGAAAAAAAAGAAAGAAAAATGCACAACTAACGCTGTTTCTGTGCGATCCGTCTGTTTGCCAATTTCTTGCTATTTTATTCTGACCCCCCATATAGGATAAATTACTACCACTAGATAATGGTTCTATATAAATTATATAACATTTTCATCTTTGCTTACTACTACCGCTGCTACACAATACGGTAGTGGACATAGATCACACTTTTAAAACAATATAATATCTAAGTAACAAAAAAAAAAACACTATTAACACAAAAAAGGGACTAAACGCAATGGAAAATACTATTCTGTCTGTGGTGGTTACTTCTTGATATATTTCGTTCTCCTATAAAACTCAAACCAAGTAAGAGATGAAACCGGAAAATGCATATAACCTACATATACATAGTACACAAACGACTAAAGGGCAAACCTATATCTCAGTCAAAGGTGGTCCAATTGCCGAACGGTGCCTTAGTGCCGCCACCTGTGGAGGAGCTCGCAGTACTACTGCTGCTGGCGTTGCTTGGGCGACCATTTACAATGCTATTTACATTACCGAATTGTCTCAAACTGCTACCACTATCCCTTAAACCGTTAGCACTACTACCATTAGCTGTGGCCGTCGCGGCGATTCCCTGCTGCTGCTGGCTACTGTTGCTGAGAAGACTTGCCATGTGATGTTGTTGTTGTTGCTGTTGTTTCCCGTTGCCGATACTACTAGCGCTATCTAGGAACGAGAACTTATCTAGACCGTAGTTTCGTAACAGTTCAAAGTCGTCTTGTGCGCTGTTGCGGGGGATTTTAACGGGACCGCTACCAGGACTAAAACCCGACCGCGCCGCCCCTCCGGCTGGTCCAGTCGGAAAGTTCCCTTGCGATAGCGAGTGTTGATGGTGTGCGTGGTGTTGGTGGTGGTTGAAGTTGTTTTTCATTTGTGTGGTCGTGTTGGCATTGAAGGACGAAGACAGTGGCGACGCGGTTGCCGATTTGGTGCCATGAAGGAATGGTGGTGTGAAATAGGGATACACTGGATTATTGAAACCGTATGGCGCCGTTGCCGTTGAAGGCGGTGATAAGGTGCCGGATGATTTTAGTTTACTACTGCGGACGGGCTTCGTGCCAGCGGGGATTGGTCTAGCTTTTTCGTTTAGTGGATCAAAGTCTTCCAGCTCGAAGCTGGAATTGGTAGTGTCCAGGTTGATTAGATCTTCGGAACTGTGGTCGCCGATGGGTTTCTCGGGGGAACCCGTCAACGCAGCACCGGTTCGGAGCGCAGGGAGTGCGGATGATGAAGGAGCATTGATGGTTGCGTTAGCGTCAGCCACATCGACGTTAGACTGGAAGGATACGGTAGATCGGTGTAAGCGACAGGTTTTGTGAATTGTCCTACAGCAGGAATGTGGTAGTAGGCAGTTGACTACATACTGGAGATGGGGAAGTTTTGCTAGGTTTTTGGAAAGGAAAAGTTTTTTGTTTGAGCAAGCTAGTTTGCCCTAACCAATGCAATGCAGTGAATAGTAACAACGATGGGGCTCAGCAATGTTGGATCTACTAGAAGAAAAAAGATATTATATATTTCGCATTTTTTAGAGAAATTACAAGGAATTTTCATAAAACAAATGAGTCTCCAAAACAGTTCATATAATCCCCATAGGTGGTGTTTTCTACATGGTATATGGTGGGAGGTAATCTGTCGTCAATGACTAGGTACTAGAAATTGTAACGTGCCTATAACACTGATTCTAAGGCATCCGGATTTGAAACGTTTTGGCAAAGTGACAGCTAAATGTATTGCCACGACCAGTGCGCAAAACAGTCAGGTACATTGAGTCATTTTGATATGAATATGAACTGCCATCTGCCTCATCATTCACTGCCTCGTGAGAGTCTGAACGATTGAGAGGTAAACGAGTCACTGACAGCCGAGCACTCAATCAGTAGCTCAGTCAACACGTTTATTCTGCTGTGATGGTACCCAATATTTGTTTTGAATGACTGAGCGTACATTTTCTATGGAAAAATGGCTCAATTACATGCTGTGTGAGCGAAGGCAAGCGGTGTGCGTCGCCTGCTCGTGAGTGACTGAATGTTTTCGTTGGCTCTATCATTGCCTCGACCTTTACCGTTTGGTACAAACGGTCTGCACAGAGCAATGGATTGAATAGTGCAGTGCTTTCACACTCAGCCTAGGCAGTCAATAATATTACGCTCTGGCCACGACGGATCAAATCCGGCTTCATTGAGCGCAGCTCTTTAGCTTATCTATCTTTTAACTATAATGCGTCATTCCTGATGCTCCGCGGCTTCATCGCTTCATCCCAACATCACCGATACTACTCTACACGCTAATATGAAAGTACCCATTAATGGGTAAAAAACATTTAGAAGAAAAGTGGGTTAACTCATTAATGGGTAAATTGTTTACCCATTTAAGGCGTATCTGTTACCCATTAATGAGTAATTGTTACCCCAAAAAATTGTCATTAAATGAGTAAACGATTTTTTTGTCATGACCGACCGTGACAGTGTTGTGAAGATCGCATTGCGCAAGGCGGATGAGAACGACGCAAATTTGAGTTTAGTTTACTCATAAATCACAAAGTGCAGGAATTCAGCGATGAGTAAATTTGCCTCATGTTTTCCAGGTTTGTCCAGGAAAAAATTCCCGAATATGAGAAGATTAGATTTACTCAGTCTACTGGTACTGAGTACTCCTAAGCTAAGTAAATTTTTTGGATTTTTTTTAGGTTTCCCGCAGGAAAACATGAGGCAAATTTACTCATCGCTGAGTTCCTGCACTTTTGGCGATTATGAGTGAACTAAATAGAATTTGGTTCATTTTCATTGGCCGTGTATGTCACTCATACTGTTCTCTGTAACACTCGCACTCTAGCCTATGTACGAAACACAACTTTTGACCCCAAAGGAATCCGCTTCGTTCATGTCCAAATGTATGGGTTCGGTCTATTTTCTTACGTGAACGAACTAAATTTAAAATTTTATTAAAAAATTGGGCATCACGACAAGAATCCATCCATTCTAATACGGATGCCAGATTTCAGAAAACGTTGGAAACCCCCTTCAATATTTGTATTTTCGGGATCAGGGTGACGTCTCGAGACCTAAGTCGATGTAAGACTCCATCTTGTAATCCGGTTTCAGAAAAAGTGGGAAATACTGACAAATATCCTTCAATATTGGAATTTCGGAATCGGGGTGACGTCTACCGACCGAAAATTGATGTCCGACGCCATTTTGAAATCCAAGATGATGGCTTTCAGTTTCAGAAAAAGTGGGAAAACTTTAAACTGCGCTTCAATGTGGGTATTTTCGGAACCAGGATGACGTCTTAGGATCGGAAATCGATGTCTAACGCCATTTTTAAATCCAAATAGGTGGCTTCCGTAAAAAGACAATCAGATTGAAGCTGAAACACTAAGAAATCGCTGACATTTACCCTACCTACACATTTTCAGTAACAATGCTTTTTTAATTGCTGTTGGTCCTCGTTTTCAACTTGGAACAATACTGATGCGGATGCAGTAATTTAAATGTTGATCTGAATTGCTTTTGGCTTAATGACCAGCGAATCCAAACACTCAAAGCAACCAACGATACACACAAAACGCTTGCTACGACTATTACGACAAACTTTCACTGCAGCACATCTCTATCGGAGAGGTAGAAGGCTAATGTTATATTGCTTGCCTGCTTTGTCGCAATATATATGGTTGAGTACATAGCTTGTTCGCAATCGAGAGAAGACATAACAAAAACATTCCCATTAACACGCGTGTATCATCCTCGGCTTTACTTCGTGAAGCAACTTGCCAACAATTTGGTCGTTTCCTTCTACCGACCCGAGCAAGCTGTGTTGAAGAAATAGTTTGTTATGAAGAAAAAGGAAGAAGATTATATCATTAATGCTTTCCATTACTGATATAGCTTTATCATTCGGCTCGTTGATCGCTTGTCATTTTGTCATTTGGAGATATTTTTGATTCCTTGCTAATGACCATCACCAACATCAAATTTGGCTACGTTCTTGATTTGGGCTCTACATTTTCGATACAAAGAAAAGAAAATGAATTCTCCCAGAATCGCTTAATTTCGAGCAATATCATTGTGTTTCTTGCGAGGTTTCTTGTTATCGATTCACGATGAACATTCCTCCTGTCAAACATGACTTGACGATCATGACGAACATGACAATCGTCAAGTGAACCAGTTCATTTCATTTTAAGCAAAGACTTGTTTCAATTGACGCAATGGATGACTCGAAAACTGCTTCCTTCGTTTTTTCCACTTTCACTTCAATTCGGAGCTTATTCGACTTGTCACGCGTCGCATCGTCAGGCATTAAAATATAGTATCCGTATAGTATACAATATCGGTTGCCGATAGGGATGGCACCCGGATTATATGTAGTAATAAAATTATATTTTATATTAAACGAAAATTAAATTAACGAGGCCAATCTGGAGTTTAAGCTGGAGGCCATCGGTCTCAGTCAAATACTTTATGATATGGGTATTTTAGAAACAGTGACGACGCGCAGATTTCGAAAATCGATGTTCGACGCCAATTTGGCCAATTTCTGGCCAATATACGTTACTGGGATTTTGAAAATACTCACATTGAGGGATATCTGACAGTATTTCCAAAGAAGAATACTAAGATGCAATAGTCGGAAGAAAAATCTTTATATTTTAGTGTCCCCTTTCACGTCCAATGAACACCCCCCGTATGCAAGCTAGTTCTGTGGTTATGCTGCCCTCTCGGTAGAGTTGAAATTTTGCGCTTTTTTTTTCAACACAATCACACCGAAATAATTTTTTAATTAGGGTAAATGACGGCTTCGGCAATACCTTATTCTATTAACGTCAGAGGGCAAACAACGTCCTTGAGAACTCAATTTTGGCATGTGGATACATTGTGTTTCAGAGCATCTATCGGCCAAATTTGAATGCTCTAGGACTTTGTTTACCCCCTTGACGATATTAGGTTAAGGTATTGCCGAAGCCGACATTTCCCCTAGTCGATTAACAACTAATCGATTATTTTTTGTTCGTTGTGCTGTTATTTGTCCAAAAATGAGAGTACAGAACATGTTTGAAACGACGGGTGATGATCCTCTGGAGAAATTAATGCTTATATCGGCATGACCGGCAATAACCGATTACAAATATTTTACTTTTTGGTTCGTTTCAACTGCTTATACTTCAACCATCTACTTAGAGAACGCAAATCTTCATTCAAGTGTAAAACGGCATCATCTAAATCCTTAGCTGCAATGAATAACACAGTATCATCTGCAAAAAGATTAATGTCGCAAAATCGTAAAACACGTCGCAAGTCATTAATATACATAATAAATAGCAGGCGTCCTAATACACTTCCCTGGGACACTCCAAGGTTATTTCCCACGGGACTGGAAACAGAATCATTAAAAACAGTCCGTTGAGTTCTGTCAGACAAATAGCTTTCAAACCATTTATATGCTTATAGTTTAGAGAGTGAGGCCTCTATAACTTCTGCCAAATAAAATTAAATTTATTATTGTTTTGGACTTGGAAGAGGTAACAACTAGTTAGTTCCTTTTTAAAAACGTATCACAAAACCATGTGGTTTTAACTAATTTAAAAAAAATTGTTTTGTCCTAAGTAGAATTTAATATTTTAAGGGTGAAAGCCTTCAGAACGCTAGAAAAAATGGGTTGCACAAGCACGCACATATTTTCTCGTGTTTTGGCAGTTGATCACGAATATCTCGATAGTGGGACAGAGCTTACGGAAATCCATCCAATAAAATCTAGCTACATCTTTTATCTACAGATTAATCTAAAAACATTGGCCAAAACACCATGTTTCTGGAAAGATTTTATGCAATTTAGGCACGCACATCCATCGTCCAATATAAGAAAACAAGGCGTTTCATGGCTTGCAGGCAATTTCCCTCTCACAGACTTCAAAATAGAGCACCTGAAAAACATTGCTGGCATCCTTATTTACGCATCACATACAAAGTCCGCCTTTTAAGCATTTCTAGCACAAATATCGCTTGATAAGCCCCGCCCCAATCAGAATTTCACACCTTTTTTTGTTGGAACCCAGGGTACACACACCTACCTCGATATTTGAAAAAAAAAATTTTTTTTTTTATTGTAAACGACAAATAAATCCATTTGAGCCCGTCATCGTCGTTACTTTCACTTGTAAGCCAATACAGCCAAATTTTAGGGGAACCTTACGCTGAAAAATCAACTATAAATTCGGGTTAGATAAAATTCATTAATACCATCAATTGTTGAACATCTTTTAATAAAAAAAAATAAACAAAACTAACAAAGCAGAAATACCTTGTGCAAAATCGTGCAAAAAATGACTTAAAAACTATCAAGGCTTTCTCGCATTTCAAAACGTTCACACAATTCCGGCTAAATTGAGAAAGAAATCACGAACACACAAACACATACACGTACTGAAGCAAAAACAAAAAAAGAAAAGCGTAACGAAGGACGAAAAGTAGCACCGGTGGTAGGTAGTAAATGTAACGTTAGAACAGAAGCGCCATTTTACCAAAATGAAAAAGAAAACCACAAAGCAAAACAAGGAACAATGGTGGTGAACGGCTGGTGAGACAGCAATGACGTGACTGGGTGGGTGGTGCGGTTCCTGATGAAAGTCGATCGCTGTACCGCGCAAATGATGCGATAATGAGACTGAAGACGAGTGAGCGCTCGACTCTGATTGGCAGATGAATGAGTGAGTGAGGAGTGGTGACCAGGAATGAGCACAACCATCATGAAAAGTGAGTGATGCGAGAGCGTGAGCTTACCCTAAACTTGCAACAGTGCTGTGTGGTCATTTGATAACGAGATTCAAATAGAGATAATACAAATAACTGCCAAGTAGTAAGCTGGGATGATAATAACATCAAACTAGGATACGTAATTGCACGTTAAGAGCACTAGAAGCTAGTAGAGAGCAAAAATTAAGGTCTTACTCAAACGTGTGATTTGTGACAGTAGATTGCTGCTTTTTTTTTTGTTAGGATAGTTTGGTTCGTTGACGTTTCGGCAGGCTTGTGTAGTCGTTGATTATTTATTGATTATTGGTGGTGGGGCTGGTGCTTGTACGGATGGTAGTTTGTATGACTTTTGGCATCTTTGGCATTTCGGGTTCAGTCGTTTGGCGGTTGTAGGTTTTGGCATCCCGCGAACACGGGGCGCGGGGGGGGGTTCGAGATTGATGGATTTTTCATTTTTGGAGCGTTTTGGGAGTTGACCGAATCAAGGAGAATACAGAGAGATAGATGCATACGGATAGAGAAACAGAGGTTAGTTCCAGGTTATACTCTTCATGGATTCCGCTTGGCCTTTGAAATCGGTGAGGTTAGATTAGGTTCGCTCATACATCGTGATTCATGACGGTCTGCATGCTCAGTTTACGTTCGATACGGATTCTCGCCTTTTCGAAATGGAAGTTAGGTTTTGGGGGACCATTCAGGTTTAAGGATTCAATGAAGAGCGTTCAAAGAAATCGGAGTGGGAGTTGGTCAGACCGAGGTGGTAGTGGTAGTACACAAATCATAAAAAAGAAGAAAAAAGTAAATGGTTAGCTAAAAAGACAGCCGGGTTGAATCTAGTCTAGAGGCATTTGTTGAAAGCGGCAATCTGTGAATCCACCAGGAGAAATCCTTTGGAAAATATGTTTTTTGCTCGTGTTTTCGCACAAACTTCCTTTCTCACGCTCGATGTTTGGTTTGTTAATGTCAAAGAAAATGAATTTGTATTTTGATTGGCGCATTAGGGTGGCCAGAAAATTTGAGACTTCTGTTTCGAATGCGTGTTTCTGATCGGATTGCCTGTTTTTTCTTCATGCAGATCTAGAAATCCACGCGGATTTACGAAGTTACAGTGCCCGTTCGATTATGGCAACAAGCCCGAACATTTAATGATGCCAAAATCGTACGGTTTTATTTTTAAATTTAATTTACGATTTCGTTGATTTTGCACCACCAACTTTATGACATAGAAATAAGAAGGAAAATTACTTTATTTTTAATTCAAAATCCGGCACGGTACCACAATCGATACCCGTGCCAAAAACGAACTGGTACTGTAAATTGACTTCACAAAATAGGTAGATGAATTTTATACTGAATTCTATTTTGAGATCAGATCATTCAATGCTTCTCACGCTTTGAGGACACGATTGATGGAATCCTTTGGTGGTTTAATTATCGGGGAAGGATTCCATCAATCTAGTCCATAAGTTCCATTTTCTTTGAGATAAAACACACCAGATTCGCTCGCAGTCACACATTCCTTCATACAACTAAGTAGGTATTTCTGAGCATTTTGAAAGCCAATCGTGAGATTACTTGGAAACTACTCGTTCCAAGAGAAACTCAAAAATCAAATATATGAAGCGATCAATTGTAGCAATACAAGAGCAGATAGTACATTAGCAAGCAATGGATGAAGTAGTAAAGGTAGTAGTAGAAAAGCGGCATTACCTCTTTGCGGAAGGTGGGCTTCGGTGCCAGCGGAGGCCTCTGCGGTGGCTGCGGGGCCGGTGGCTTATGGTGGCTGTTAAGATGGTGGTGGTGGTGGTGTTGGTGGTTTTTATGGTGAGAGGGGGGATGTGGCAACGTGTGCGATTGGATCGCATCATGATTCGGTAGCGCGCTGATACCGTTGGACTGTTGATGTTGATGGCTACCGGCATTGCCTCTACTAGGTTCGAGTACGATTTGGCTACTAGCGTCGTTGGTGGAATTATTTGGCGTTAAAGTGATCAGTTCATCGTCGTCGAACTGCGTCACTAGCGGATCGTTCCGGCTCGCTTTCAGTGGCGGCGGTGGCGGTGGCGACGGGAGCGGAGGCGACTGACTAACGACCGGCGAGGGCGACCCTCCGGCCGTGTTCGGATTCGAGGGCGATTGATTTGGCTTCGATTGCATCATGGCAGCGTGGTGCAGGAAGTTGTTATAGTTTCTATAGGGCGACGCCGAGGTCGACGAGGAAGACGAGGGGGGAGACATTGGTGGGGGTGAAATCTGGATGCCAGCCAGGGCTTCGGCTGCCGTTTGGAACCTCCTCGGAGGCACCGGCGGACAGGGCATGTCCGGTGATAGGTCAAAGTTTTGATCGTTGTTGTTGTAGTTGTTCGCCGCATGGTGGTGCAAGCCTCGTTGGCCGTTTGCCTCCGGCGATCCGGTGTTTAAATCCAACTGCAGAAGCGGTTGCGTTGCCGAGGATGATGGTGCTTCCTGTATTCGTGGCAGCCCGGGACCCGATCCGGGTGAACTCACCGGAGCACCGGTCCGAGATGCGGCCCGATTGGGCGAGTCCAAGCTGTACGACGGCTTGAGCTAGAGGGGTTGATCGAATGTGTGTGTTTTGCGCACGATTCGTTTGATGAGACGCGGACACATGAACGGGGATGCATGTTATATCGAGTTTGAAATCGAGTAATGAAACAGATATGATTGACGGATTTTTTTTTTTTTAATTTGATTCGTGGTGACACAAAATGTGTTGGAAAGAGATGGAAAGCAGAAAGTATAAAAATAAGATTTAGACACACGAAAAAGAGAAGTGTTTGCCTGTGTTAGGTTTGTATGTTTGGAAATAGTTGTACTTAGCGGTAATTTTGAATTTTGAGAGCATCAAAAAAGTCTGAACTCGGGGAAACTCCATCACCATAGATATATATATTACCATTTACCCGTTAACATGAAAATATATCAACCGTAACCTATTGTATAGCACTGAGGACAGGATTATAAACTCTAGAAAATAAAGTTTAGCAATCGAGCTTGAATTTCTTAGGTTGTAGACTTATACCATAAAAGCGGATTTCAAAAAGCTGCGTTGAATACGTCTGATGACAATATTGATCAAGGAGAAATTGTTGGTTAATTAAAGTGAAAAATGTATCGCTTTCTGATAGTTTAGAAAGTAAACATTTAAACGACATACATGTATATTCAATCAGTATTCTCCAATAGTTTATTCAATAGCTGTAACCCACCCAACCATAATGCACGTATATCGATGGTTCTCATAAAAACAATCAGATTTAATGTACATCGAAGTTGTTTCTATTATATAGGGCAAAGAGGGGCAAGAGAGGTCAGTCACGTTTCCATATGTATTTTAAGTTAATCGAGCATAATTATTTTTTATCCCTATTTCTGAAGTGGAATTTGTTTGCGAACAATGATTTAAAATAAAATAACATTTGAGCACATTAGAGAAGTGTTGCTGCTGATGGCAGAGGAAAAAGTTTACTTTGTTTCCTCGTTTTACCTTTGTTACTACCGTAACATAGGTATTAGAATCGATTTTCATACGTCTTGCCTTCTGTGACTGATAGCCATCCACACAAGCTATCTCACCTGTATAAAACATTCCCAATCGATAGAACTCGGCTCGATTTGGCTCGACAGTTTGATTACGACATCGTAGAATCAAATTAAACATGAAAAATCGACCCGGCATGCATGTCGTTTAACCCCGTTTTTTTAAGTCAGGGTAAGGCTTTATGTTTAGTTTGGGCGTTATCATCAGAAGAAGAAATCGTACGCAAAATCGTGGAATGTAGCATAATGCACCCCTGAGGTAAAATGACCCCGTGCAGTTTTTCGTTGCTCTCCCATTACTAATTCTGGAATTATCATGAGCCAGAATGTTAGTTCAAGCACTGAACTAGCAATGCTGATTGTTAAATTCTGGAATTGACAATCGGAAAGCTATGAAAAACAGCGTAGGGCCATTTTACCCCAGGGGTGCGTTTTGAACCATCCTACCCTACGTATCGACAACGGACCAAATCTATTCATCGATTTCAAGGCTGCTTATGATACTATTGACCGTGAAGAGCTATGGAAGATTATGGACGAGAACGGTTTTCCCGGGAAGCTGACCAGACTGATCAGGGCTACGATGGATGGTGTACAGCGCTGCGTGAAGATATCGGGTGCGTTATCGGACCCGTTTGAAACTCGCAAAAAACTTCGACAAGGCGATGGTCTTTCCTGCCTCCTGTTCAACATTACGCTAGAAGGTGTTATGAAACGTGCGGGCTTTAACATGCGGGCACGATCTTCAATAAGTCCAGCTAGTTCATCTGCTTCGCTGACGACGTGGACATTGTCGGAAGAACGTTTCAGGCCGTGGCGAAGCAGTACACCAGGCTGAAACGTGAAGCAGAGAAGGTTGGATTAAAGGTGAATACGTCGAAGACAAAGTATCTGTTAGCTGGAGGAACCGAGGGAGATAGGGCTCGCATAGGCAGAAGCATGACAATCGACGGAGATGAGTTCGAGGTGGTGGATGAATTTGTGTGCCTCGTATTATTGCCGGAAGCCGGAAGTCGTGCTTACTACGGACTCCACAATACCCTGAGGTCGGGTAAACTTCACCTCCGTACTAAATGTACCATGTACAAGACGCTGATAAGCCCGGTAGTTCTCTACGGGCACGAGATGTGGACGATGCTCGAGGAGGATCTGCAAGCACAGGGTGTTTTCGAACGACGAGTGCTTAGGACCATCTTTGGCGGGGTATGTGAGAACGGTATATGGAGGCTAAGGATGAACCACGAGCTGGCGCAACTCTATGGCGAACCGTGTATCCAGAAAGTTGCGAATGCTGGACGGGTACGATGGGCGGGACACGTTTTAAGAATGCCGGACAACAATCCCGCAACAATGGTGTTTGCCTCGAATCCGGAAGGTACAAGACGAAGAGGAGCACAGCGAGCAAGATGGTTAGACCAAGTGGAGCAGGATCTTGGAAGTGTGGGACGGTCAAGAAATTGGACCCACGAGTGAATTGGCGTAACATTGTGATGCAGGTGCAATCCTAAGGGATGTCGGACCAGGATAAGTAAGTAAGTAAGTAACACTATGTATTCTAAAAGACCTTTTCGATGCTTAATCGTCTTTCTCTATCTATCACACATGTATGAATCGACGGTGTATTTTCCCACTAATCTGTTTCCCACTTGCTCGCACTCGTTGGATTTAAATGGTACAGTAGTGTGCGCCGATTAGACGTCGAAAAGCTCTATAAGACCAGTCAGATGTTGTCCCTTCAAATTTGTGCACGGCCGATGAGATCAACCCAAATAAAAATCTCAATAATCTGTTGGAAAATGAGGGAAATTTACGAAAATTTCTCTAGTAGTAGTACCAATAGACCGAGAAAATTCAATCGTTAGCTTTATCATATTCTGGCATTTTTTCCTTGAAAAAGCACGAAAAAACGAAAAACAAATAAACAAGTAAATTTTTCTGAAATCCTGCACTTTTTGCGATTTATGAGTAAAGTAAAATCAAATTTGGATTGATCTCGTTGGTCGCGAGTTTTCCACCTTTCTGCATACGTTAGTTCTAAACAATTCAAATTTCAGTAAGCTCTACTCATTTCCATTAGATGTAGGGCTACCCAATATTGAGCAAACAAGATTGTAACTGACAAGATAACAAATTAACATTCGGATTCAAGTGTTCATTCGCCATTTTGTCAGTCCGAACTTTGTTAACTCAATTTTGGTGGATATGAGTAGATCCTACTCAAATTTGGGGGTTGTTTAGAAATAGCTTACACCCCGCGCTGTTTTTGCCCATACATCTAAACATCTAAAGCGGACGTTACACATGTCAATATATTCACAAGGAGGATAGTGTAACTGGCGCTTTAAATCTTGGTCTATACATCACCCTCATTTTTAAAAATTGCTATTAGAACTGGTACATCGTGAAACAAATATGGAAACTGTCTGACCGATCAGTCCCGTTGGCGTAGCTATTGCGGGTGCCTTAGGCAGTGATGCCACATTTTTTCGAATTTAATTTTGTTTTCTCGCGTAACATTTGAAAAGGGCCTATCCTCGTTGATCGATTCTCTTCATCGACTTTCTCTTTCATTTACCACGGCAACATAAACGAATTTCTCGCTAAGCTTGCACGACAGTTCGACAGAAGATGATGTTAGCTTTATAGTCGCTATATTCATAGCCTGGCGGAGAGAATCTCGGGAACCAATTGAGCTGTCAAATAGCGGAACCAATCGAGCAAATCACGACCAACAACAGAAAAGAGCATATCAGCTATTGCGAACAAAACTTCTGGAACCCGTTTTCTCGTGACTTAAGGTACGCCTTCGCAAACTAAAACCATCTTTGGACTGAAGAAAATTTCCCCTATCCGGTAATTTGCGTTCGATTGGCGTGGAAAGAACGTGAAGACATAAATCAATTGATCATTGAATTATGATTTGAACTCCAATTCAAATTAGCAATTGCTGTTCTGAAACTGAGACCAATAAAAAATATCTATTAAGGCCTCGTCTATCTATACTGTGTAACAAAGGTTCTATTCACCTGCACGGTGGATCAATATGGGTTTTTACAAAAGAAAAGCGTGTCGTGAATCGTGGATCCTTAAGAACATCGAAAGATCATCTATCCGTAAGCCCACTAAAAGGAATTTTGATGGAGAAAAAGGTGGAACGTTTTAGCCGCGTTTTCCCATGGAAATGGAACAGGAGTTGGCCAACCACATCATTTCCATGCAAGACCGGCTTGAACACTACAGAGGTGGGACAGCTTCTTACGGATTGACCGTGAAAAACAATCTGCCAAACAATTTCTGCAGGGAGGCAAAACTCGCCGGAAGTGATTGGCAGGGTGGCCAGTGAATTTTCATTTTGAAATTCTCGGTTTTTCCCGGTTCAATTCTTAAAAAATTCCCGGCATTTTTAAGAACGTGCTGAAAGGAATTTACTGAAAGGATAAAAAAAAATTGATTTTGATATTTTTGATTAATAACAATCTTTGTGATGCAAGATTTGGAGTAAAAATAATAAAAATGTGAGATTTTGACAATTTTTCAAGACCACAGATTTGAAAAAAAAATCATACTTATGAGTCGTGGAGTCATAATTGTCACGCTCTGAGACTTGGAAGCATTTTAAGTGTTATAACAAATGATATAGCAATCTATAGAATCTAGCGGACAAACCCTGGAATTTTTATTAAAATTTAAAAGAATTCAAAGTGTTGATTTCAAACAAATATTGAGAAGGATTCCCACACAGTTTTCGAAGGAGAAGTTCTGAGCAGATTTCCAGAATTATTCTGACATGAAATCGTTGGTAGATGAATTTGGAAGGATTTCTGTGGAGAAGAATGAAAGTTCTAAATTAAATTGTTATGTAATTTTAGAAGATTTAAAAAGGAGTTATGAAAAACAAAACTTTACGGAAAATCCCTACGTTAATCTGGGGAGATTTGTATGGGGATCGAGAGGAAAATGACAGATGAATTTTGAGAAGAATTCCAAGAGAATTATGAGCATAATTC